ATATATATATATATATATATATATATATATATATATATACATACATGTGTACATGAATTTTTTTGTGTCTTGTTGAATTTTGAGAAATTGACTTTGAGATGGAGACTTTCCTGACTCTGTGAACCGCAGGACACAGGATTTTTCACGTAACATAATTAACCATTTTGAAGTCAAAGCTTTATTTGTTTAGCGCTTTTTCCACAATACATCTTAGGGTTGGACAGTATAACTAAATCTTTCTAGAATTTCACCTTTTTTTTTTTTTGGGACTCAACACCGAATCAAAATAATGATGAACAAAAAAATAGGATAAATCTCTGTCAGTACTGCACATATATTTTCTTTATTATATGTGCAGTACTGAGTCATATGAATGCAAAACATTACCAAAAAGTCTGTTCCAAAGTTTAAGAGCCGTTTGTTTTTTCTTACTTAACATTCCTGTTGGACATCATCTGAGAATATAGTGTTCATAAAAGTCTTTTACAGTGACAATTATGTGAACTGAGCTAGTTTGACTGTCTTAGAGGTTTGAAAGTAACATGCAAGTGGACTTTATGTGATTATTGGGGTAATAAACCAGTGTCCTACCATTAAGTTCATGCACTCAACTAGTCCAGAATCAGAGAGAGCTTCGAGCAGGTCAGTCACCAGTATAGTGAAATGGCAGAAGGGCTAAAACGAGCATTTGGCAAGATCAAGCAAAATGTATTTGAGGCGATTGAAGATCTTCGGGTTAAGGAGGGGGAGGAGGGATCGACACAGCGCAAAGGTTCGATGCAGAAGTTGACGGCACTGATAACAGCAAGCTCGAAGGGCGAGGTGAACCAGTCAAAGAAGAAGCAGAGAAGAGATGGTAATCTAAGATCTTATACACTGGAAATGGGAAAGGAAATGAAGCCTTTCGAGAGAAATATAATGTTTAGAGTACTGCAAAGACATTCAGTCATGGTACTACTAAGGGTTATAGAGTCAGTCTTTGCTGCAGCTTGTTTAGCATATGTTTATGTAAGAGCCAAAGATACTTAAGAGCATCCATAAAGGAAAAAAAACTTTTTAAATCTAGTGCCTAAATCAAGTTTTTAGAAATGAAAAACTCCTTTGTACCCATATTTGTTTCATATGGTTTAGAACATTTTTCTGCTGTTTTAAAAGTAGTTTAAATTTAATGAAAATGTCATGTGGTATAACCATAAAGTAAAAAGTAATAACGTTTTCCAAACCTCTTGAATACATCTTAATAAAAATATTAAGATATTAATTTTAAAATAATATGGCAAAATGTTTAAGTATAGATAGATAGAAATAGATACGGTTAATTACTCACAATATGGTACATTTTCTGAAATGTTATGTTTAAATATGGAAATGAGGCCTTATTATTAAAAATGCACTCAGCTGCATACATTTCCAGAATGGAAATCTGAACATTGGATAAAGCCAGATTCAAAATTATTGTTTCTTTTGTTGACATAGTAGAGTTAAAGGTTTTTACAGAGGGGATTTTGGATATTTCTATTTACCACTCCATAATTAAAACAAAAAAATACTGTCAACAGTCAGTTTTTAGGAATAAAATGTTTTGTAAATCAGGTGATTGTTATATGAACAAACCCCTATGTAAAATCATTCAGAATTTAGAAAACTCGAAAGGTTTGGTGTACTGTTTGTAAGTGGAGATTTCTGTCTCATTTTGAGAAAACAGCCTTAAAATATATGTTTTTGAATTGATTTTTACAGACATAACTAAATAACGTTTAATCAAATGAACACATAAATGTGTATTTTGGTTGTTTTCTTTCCACTAGTCTGAAAGAAGACGTTCTGGAAGAAAAATATCACAAAATTGACCAGTGCATGAAAAAACAAACAAACAATGGTTTACCTAGTGTCTTGCCTTATAGTTAACATAGCATTTTATAACACAAACTAACCTTCTTCAGGGGTTCTTTACTGACTTGTTTTTTCTCCATTATAATAGCAGGAGAGTTACAATCAAAATTATTCAACCCCCACAGATTTATTGGCAAAATGTACAGACTTTCAGCTGTTGGCAATGAACAAATCAAACAAAAGTAATTGAAATAGCTCAACACAGCAAATGTTTCAAGTGGTTTCCCCAAATTCAATTGAAAATACAACTTGTGTACATGTTGAGACTTCTGCAGTCTCAAAATTATTCACCCCCCTGAATAGAATCCCTCACAGCAGCACAAATCTGCAAAACAGGTGTTGTCTCAAGCACACCTGATGCAATTAATCAGCTTCATTAGAACACAGCATGAAATACTTGAATTGGAAGAATGGTCCAAAAAGTTAAGAGAAGAGATCATCGCCCTTCATACAAAAATAAAGTGAAGGGACTGAATGTTCCTAGAGACACTGTTGGAAGCATAGTTCGCAAGTTAAAACATAAGGGAACAGTGGTTACAGAAAAAAGAAGCTGTCAATGGCTGCAGCCAGATTTCTGAGAAGGCAGGTTCAGAAAAACCCTTGAGTGACTGCAAAAGACCTGCAGCAAGACTTGGTGGCAACAGGCACTGAGGTTTCAGTTTGCACAGTATGGCCAGAACTCCAAGATGTACACCACTACTGACCCAAATGTACAAGAAAAGTCGGCTCCAGCTCCAATTTTGCACAAAATTTGGGATTCTGTGCTGTGGAATGATGAACCAAAACTGTAACTTGTTGGCTCTATGGATCAGCAGTATGTCTGAAGGAAGAAGAATGAAACATACGTTGAAAAGCACACTGCCTAGAGTTAAGCATGGTGGTGGCTCGGTGATGCACTGGGGCTGCTTTGCATCCTCTGGCACTGGAAACCTGCAGCTGGTGTCTTGCTATAAATCGCATTTGCTGCAGGTCATCACAGCAAAAGAGTGCTCTACTAAGTACTAAAGATGCTTGCAATGAAGGAGTTGAATAATTTTGAGGCTGCAGAAATCATTAAAAGTTGCATTTTCAGTTGAATTTGGGGAAACCACTTGAAAGATTTAGCTGTGTTGAGCTCTTTCAATTACTTTAGTTTGATTTGTTCATTGTAAACAGCTGAAAGTCTGTACATTTTGCCAATAAACCTGATTTGCAGTGGGGGTTGAATAATTTTGATTGCAACCATATATCATCCTGACATTTTTGACTTTATATCCCCAAAAATATTTCGGATTGATTTTTAATACAAAAACATGCATAGTCATATTCCGATCATTGTGTGAATTGCATTTTTAATGTATTTATGAAAAATAATAATAATAATGATAGGATGAAAAAAACAGCATCATGTTATTGACCCATCTTAAAATTCATTCAAAGCCTTACCATAATCCATGTCCTCTTCTAGCTCCTGATGGAAAAGAAGGTGGCAAACTGCGAGAAGAGCAGGATTCCAGCCCTCTTCCAGAGCCTCAGTGTGAGAAGAACTGCGGCTGTATATGTCACCTGCAGAGGCCTGGCATGAAGCTCGTATGGGTGCCAATAAGTGAGCAGGATGATGACGAGGGTGAGGATGATGAGATTGAATACAGTGACATGGAGGATCAGAACAAAAGCAAAGAGGGAGAGAACGAAGAGAAGTCAAATAAGGAGCTGAATTCTTTGAGTGAGTCAATAGCTGAAGATGAGAACAAGAAGGAGGAACTGCAAGTTAAAAAAGGCAAGTTTCAGGAGACTCGTAATCTAATAGAGCAACAGCTGAGGAGGAAATCGGACCCTGGACCTCCAACGTTGATCGCCTCTGTTGTCCCATTTCCTCAGACTCCTCTAAACGTCCCCAAAGACCAGTCTTTGGAGGAGCCAGAGGAGTCCATCTACGATGTTAGCCTGGAGGTGGTCACTCCACCCAGACATCAGAAGGGATCGGACACTGTAAGCAAGGACGCACCTCCGGTCATTCCTCCCAGGATGCCTTTAGATAACAGGAGTCCACCTCGCATTATTCTGCCTCAGCCTCTAGCACGCCCTGCCTCCCCTCTGCTTCCCCCTAAAAAGTGCAGCCCACCTGCCAGTCCCCGACCACAAAGAACTCCACCACCACCACCAGCCAAGACCTATGAGAACGGAGGACGTCTCAGCAATTATTCTCTCAAGTCTATAGGTAACATAAAGGCATTTAAAGTAGGCATGGAATCAAAATGTACCCTATTTATTATTGTTAGTTCAGGTCTATTAAAGGGATAGTTCACCCAAAAATGAAAATTCTGTCATTAATTACTCACCCTCATGTCGTTCTAAACCCGTAAAACCTTCGTTCATCTTCGGAACACAAATTAAGATATTTTTGATGGTATCTGAGAGCTCTCTGACCCTGCATAGGCAGAAAGGGTCCTTACACGATCAAGGTCGAGAAATGTAGCAAGGACATCGGTAAAATAATCCATGTGACATCAGGGGTTCCACCGTAATTTTACGTAGCTACGAGAATACTTTTTGAGTGCAAAAGAAAAAAAAAAACGACTTTATTCAACAATTGTAAA